CGATTCTACATGTTTCCAACTTTCCAAGCAAAGTAAAGTTTTCTCCATATTGCCTTGTATTTTCAATGCGAAAGAATATTGCCTCAGCTAAGAATATATTCTTTCAATATGAAAAATGGATGTATAAATTGTGAAACATTTTTTTATATTTTTTTAATAAACAACGAATAACGGAAAAGTTCAAGTTTCTTAAAGATCAAGAGATCAACATCAATTAATTGGAAATTATTTGGGGCGGCCTGTGTAAAGGTAAATATTTACCCATTATTTCATATTTTCATTAATGACATCAATATATCCACATTGCATAAGATTTCCATAGGACATCCTATTGATCGAAAGGAAATCCTAAATTAGGAATAGGATATCCTAATTTGATTGAAATGATTCCATTTTGATCGAAATTAAAAAGTCCATAGGATTACTTGAACATTAAATCAATTAATAAATTGATGTACATGTGAAATAATTGAGACTGATAAACAAATAACATTTGTTATGACAGTTTTTGAATTATACAAGATGCGAGATACATAATATTTGATAAGTACATGTTATACAATTCACAAAATTAGTAGGAAATATAATATTGAAAGAAAATATGATAAATATTTACCTTTACACATCCAGCCCCAAATGACTTGACCTTGACATATATTGTCAAGATCACTGCCTTGAGTGACATTCAAAAGGTTTTAGACCTCGCTCGTTGTTTATTAAAAAGTTATAAACAAAAAAAAGTAATAAAAAAAATTTCACGAATTTCACGTAATCTTTAAACATCTTGTGCATTTAATGTAATGTTTTTTTTTTTTACATATACGCGGTTATTTTATTATTTAGTTTTTAATTATTTATTTTTTAATAAAAAATATCTAATAAATTATTTAGAGGTGGTATGAAGTAGATCTCGTTTTGTGTGGAAAATTGCAAACCTATGTGGAAGTATACAATAATAGACCTCGCTTCGCACTGACTCAGAGATGGTGTGGGGTGGACCTCGTTTCACGTGGAAAGTTGCAATTATAATTGATATACATTCCTCCAAACAATTATCATATAGGTAATTTCATGTCAAATTTTCGCATAGCTTCAAGTAAGTATAACTCCGTCAAAAATTATTGTATTTGAAAATTCTTTTTTCATTCTCAAGCTTAAAGTCTCTATTTTAAAATCATTTGTTAGATTTAGAATTTATCCTCCCCCCTCTCGTCATCTCCTTAAAAGTAAGGACGTGTTTAGACTCCAAAAAGTTGCATAATTTGATGCATTTCACGGGGTGGAATAAATTTTTTTCATAAATTTCAATGAATAAAAATTTATAGGTAACTTTGATGTATCGTAACTCCGCGAAAAAAAATCGCAGAAACTTCTTTTTTTTTTCATTCACACATAAAAGTCCATATTTTATGACTATCATGAAATTTGCGAAAAAAATTTATTCCACTCGTAGAATGCGTCAAATTATGCAATTTTTTACAGACGAAACACATCCTTACTTTTCAGTAGATGACGAGAGAGAGGGAGGATAAAATCTAAATCTGACAAATGATTTTTAAAATAGAGGATTTAAGCTTGAGAATGAAAAAAAAATTTTTTCAAATGCAACCATTTTTGGCGGAGTTATACTTATTTGAAGTTATGCGAAAATTTGACATGAAATTACCTATGCGATAATTTTGTTTACGAGCGTATATGTAAAGGTCAAAGAAATTGAGATGTTTTTCAATTCGTTTATTCCTTTATAACTTTCAATACGAAAGGTCTATTATTGTACACGGTGTTCAAAAATTCTGTGAACCTTACAAAACTTCTTTTGTTTATAACTTTTTAATAAATAACGAGCGATGCTTAAAATCTTTCGAATGTTACTCAGGGCAACGACCTTGACAATATATGTCAAAGTCAAGTCATTTGAGGCTGGATGTGTAAAGGTAAATATTTAGCAGAGGATTGAACTTGCAATGTTCAATAATAACGACCGTTACATTTAAAAAAATGTTAATGCAAAATGAATATAAATATTATATAACAATATCAACCGCATATGCATACGTAATAATAATAAATTATTCATGGAAAGTTATGGAATAAAGTTTTTGCATTTTATATATATTTTATTTTCATGAAAGTAATTTTAATGGATTTTTGAAATATCTTTCTGTTAAAATAATAATACATCAAGTAGCTTAGATACTTTAAAAAAAAATCTCAATCTAAATTTTCATCAAAATAAAATACAAAAATGTCAAAATTTTATTAATTTTTATTAGATAAAATTACTTATGTAAATTATTTAGTATCATATGTCAGATAACAAGATTTCGTCGATCTAATGAAATTACGAGAGTGACTCAGAATCATAAAGTAAAACAAAAAGCTTGCTTATGTACGTGCACGCACGCACGCACGCACACGCGCGCGCACACGCGCGCGCACACACACACACACACACACAACACACAAAATCGTACCCAAGATGTTCCACTATAAATGAACATACTTTTTTAAACTAAAAGAGATAGATCATAACATACACATATCAAGGCATGCACCACACACACATTTATATTCAATTATATGGTTCAAACTAAATTCTATTGTAAGTATAGTGATTACTTCCAAAAATTATATGTGTTAGAAAAACGAAAAGATCTTAATAATATTTTTATTATGCATATTTGTATATACAGGGTGTCCCATTTTAATGTCCCGTTCCAAATAACTTTCTTATTTTTAATTTTAGAAAAAGATGTTTCAGACAAAAGTTGTATGGTTTCTAGGGGGACATAAGATGGTGCCATTAGTTTGACCTTAAAGAGTCATATGAAGGTTACGTGAAGGTCATTTTGAATTTCTTAAATGGAACACCCTATATATTTTTGCATATTCTTGTAGCTCATCTCGAGAGCTTTCCAAAACACTATAAATAAACATTTTTTCATCAAGTACTTTTCGAGTTGAGGCTTGAAATCATTTCTTAATTTTACATAAATCATAAAATATCTTGTAAAATATTCATTTTTCGATTATCTTACCTTAATACTTTTATGTACAAAATAATGAAAGAAATCAATTGGTGTAAAGAAAACATACAGTTGTTTTTAAGAAAAAATATGTAATTTGCAATTAACAATTCCATATTTTTTCTTAAAAACAACTGTATGTTTTCTTTACACCAATTGATTCCTCTCTTTATTTTGTACATAAAAAGGTAAGATAATCGAAAAATGCATATTTTACAAGATATTTTATGGTTTATGTAAAATTAAGAAATGATTTCAAGCCTCATAACTCGAAAAGTACTTGATGAAAAATGTTTATTTATAGTGTTTTGAAAAGCTCTCGAGATGAGCTACAAGAATATGCAAAAATATATAGGATGTTCCATTTAAGAAATTCCAAATGACTTTCACGTACCCTTTATATGACTCTTCAAGGTCAAACTAATGGCACCATCTTATGTCCCCCTAGAAACCATACAACTTTTGTCTGAAACATCTTTTTCTAAAATTAAAAATAAAGTTATTTGGAGCGGGACATTAAAATGGGACATCCTGTATATGTTTGTATACATATACATACACATATATACGGTGTAACAGATTATCCGTATTAGGTGTTTTTTTTTTCGAAAAATACAATGTTCTTTTTCGTGAAAAATGTTTCATACAAAAGCTATGAAGTTTTAAGCGACGCATATTATATAATATTAATAACCCTGAATAACGTTATTAAATAAAGATTTGAAATTTTGAAATGGAAACCCACTTTTTTATTGGATAATAAGTGCTTTCCGAGTTATAAAGCGTTATAAAGAGTTATGAAACTTACAATACACCATTAGCTTTAAGTATACTGCGTGGAAATTACACGAATGAATTTACATTTTTTTGTGTTTTTGTGTATATGTGATATACATAAAATAAACAATAGAGATGCAAATCCGACACAATCTCCACACGATATACTTTAGGCTAATATTATCGATACTGTAACTTTCAAGTCTCATAACTCTGAAGGAAAGTATTTAATAAAAAAATAGTTTATTATATATAACGTTAAAAAACTCTCGAAATAAACTGCAGAAAAATAAAAAAAATGGAGTTTTTATTTTAAAATTTCAAGATGATTTTTATGTAATTTTGACGACGTTATTCAAAGTCATATCAATATTGACTATGTAATACATCACTTAAAACTTGACTTTTATATATTAAACATTTTTCATGAAAATGCATTTAATGTATTTTTCAAGAAAATGTATTTTTCAAGAGAAACAAAAACCGCTTGATATGGACATTTTATTAAGTTCTGTATACATCGTGGTTTATCTCCTTAACAAGTTTAAAAAAAATAAGAAATATTCAATTATGGTAATATATCTTTTATATATATATATATATATATATATATATATATATATATATATATATATACAGGGTGCCCCATTTTAAAAGTTCCACTCTCATAACTTTTTTAATTTTGATTGTAGAAAAAAATGTTTCAGACAAAAGTTGTATGGCTTGAAGAGGGACATAAGATGGTGTCAGTTCGACATTGAAGAGTCACCTGAAGATCACGTGAAGGCCACATCCAACTTTTTAAATGGGACACTCTATGTGCTTTTGCATATTCTTATAGTTCTCGAGAGCTTTCCAAAACACTACGATCAAGTTAGTTTCCATTAAGTATTTTCCGAGTTATGAGGCTTGACATTATTTCTTAATTTTACATAAACCGTAAAATATCTAGTAAAATATTCATTTTTCGATTATCTTACCTTAATACTTTTATGTACAAAAAAAGGAGAGGAATCAATTGGTATAAAGAAAACACATAATTGTTTCGAAGAAAAAATATAATTTGCAATTACATAATTTTTTTTTCGATTCTTCTCATTATTTTGTACATAAAAGTATTAAGGTAAGATAATCGAAAAATGAATATTTTACTAAATATTTTATAATTTATGTAAAAATTAAGAAATTATTTCAAGCTTCATAACTCGAAAAATACTCGATGAAAAAATACTTTATTATAGTGTTTTGAGCTTTCAAGGTAAGCTACAAGAGCTTTCTTTTGGATACATATACATCTGACACCCTGTATATTGACGTCTTTTGCGAAAAATATCAAAAGATGTTAATTTTGCTTTCGAGGAGAACATTTAATTACTTACATTAAATGTAACAAAATTTTTTCATTCCCTTCAGGGTAGCTATCCCTTCAAAAATCTTAAGTGGCAATAGGAGTCAAGTGATACATCATTTTGAAGGTCTTTTGATTCTCTGTATAACTCTCTTTCCTTTTTTTTTATTTAAGTGAATATTTTTCGAGAAATTGCACTTGGAACGTGTCGTAAAAACGTTTTACACACAAAGATACATTTTGGAGTACAATTTATTTGTCATTTATTTCAAGTATTAAGTGTTCAAAATAATCTCCATTGTTTTCTCAACAATAATATAAACGATACTCAAATTCTGAACTAACAACATTTTGAAAAGTTTCTACAAGAATACCATTATTGTACAATTCTTCGACACAAATCGTTTACATTTTCTGATATTTCATAAACAACGGATTTTAAGTGCCCCCACAGAAAAATCTTTTCTCAAAATGTTCGTTTAGAATTTGAAAATCGTTTATATTATTGTTTAGAAAACAATGGAGAACATTTCGACATTTGTTATAATAAATAAATAAATTTTACTCCAAATTGTATCTTTTTATGTAAAACATTTTTGATACCTAAAACTTACAAGTGCAATCTCTCGAGAAATACTCACTTAAATGAAAAAAAAAGAAAAAAAATATCCAAAATCTTGTACAGAGAATCAGAAGACCTTTAAAATGATATATCACTTGACCCCTATTGCCATTTAAGATTTTTGAAGGCGTAGCTACCTCCACGAAAGGAATGAAAAAGTTTCGTTGCATTTAATGTATTTAAATGTTCCCCTCGAAAACAAAATTGACGTCTTTTGGCATTTTTCGCAAAAAGTAGTCAATTGTAAAATAAACAGGTGAAAAGTTTTAAAATGAACACCCTGTATAAAGTGTGCGATAACAATTTGCACGGATTGACTTTTTAAAATTAATTTTTCATTATTGTTGTAGAAATTACAAAGGAGAACTTGTCTATTCGGTTCATTAACTCGTTCTATCTTCACATAAAATATACTGAACACCCTAAACGCATACGCATACACACACGCACTTGCACTTAATATACATATAAATTTGTCTGTACATGTGTTACATATTGAATCTATACAAATAATTTGTCACTGAATGAATTACATGGAAGTATAAATCAAATGTATACATTTCTGTCTTCTATAGCTTCTTCCTTTTTCCTTCAAACTACTTAAAAATCTTGCTGATTTTTGCTTTGACACTTCTTTTTAGGAGTCATCTTTCGCGATTCAAAATTATTTCTCTTTTTTTGCATCCGCTGCACCATATGATGAAGCCTTACTTATTTCTGACATTCCGAGTGTTTTGTACATTAGCAGATAAACTGTAATTCATTTTATTTTCATGAACACAAAATATTTCGTAATTCTTAAGATCATAGGAGATAAAAAAATCAAGAAAAAACTAGCTATAAGCTGTGGAATTTTTTAAGCAAACAAATCGAATAATTGCAATTTAAAAAATTCAAATTTGTTTTTATTATAGTGAAAAAATTTACAAATTAAATTGAATTTTTTAAATACACTATTCATACACACATAACAAAATTAAAGAATCATTTAATAGTAATGCAAAAAAGATCGAATTCAAACTCATCTATTTTTTTGAAAAATAATAGCCATATTGAAGAAAGGAATGAACTTCTGAAAAGAGCACATCTTCGATTGTTCTGAAAAGGCCCCGCACAAATCTTATGGAAAAGTGGTTTCGGTGAAATTGTATAAGAGCTGGATATGATTTTAGTTTATGACCTCCTGATCAAAAGTCCCAATGGGCATAATCTTTAGAAATGAACAGATTTTTTTGTTATAGATGTTTAAACAGACAATAAGATTCACAAACGGAAATGTATTCAACATTATATGTGAAAATGTGCGTGTATGTTGATATATTCGTGTGTGTGTGTGTGTGTGTGTACAGAGTGTTCCGATTTAATTGTGTATCCCGATTATCATTCCCGAACATCGCAGAAAATGGTCGGATGAAAAAACGTTGTAGACTTTGGAGGAAGACATCTGATCATATTGAATAAATGTGTTAAGATGGATCATATGGAGTCCAATTTTGTTTTTTTTTAAATGGCTCCCTATTTTTCATTGCATATTCTTGCAGCTTATCTCGAGGGCTTTCCAAAACACTATAATAAAGTATTTCTTCATTGAGTACTTTTCGAGTTATGAGGCTTGAAATAATTTCTTAATTTTACATAAACTACAAAATATCTCGTAAAATATTCGTTTTTTGATGATATCATCTCAATATTTTTATGCCTAAAATTATGAAAGAAATTAATTGGTGTAAAGAAAACAGTTGTTTGTAAAAAAATATAACTGTTATTTGCAAATTACATATCTTTTTCTTAAAAAATACTGTTTTTTTCTTAAATTGATTGCTATTATTATTTTATGTATAAAAGTATTGAAATAATATCATCGAAAAATGAATATTTTACCAGATGGTAAAATATTTTATGGTTTATGTAAAATTAAGAAATTATTTCAAACCTCATCTTGAAAAGTACTAACAAAAAAATATTTTATTGTAGTGTTTTGGAATGTTCTCGAGCTATAAGATGATGAAAAGGAGCTATCAAAAAATGAGCTATAAGAATGTACAATAAAAAATGAGGAGTTCTATTTAAAAAAACAAAATTGAACTCCATATGACCTTGGCACGTTCACTCAAGGTCAACTCAATGTGATCATCAGATGTCCCTCTGAAGCCTACAACTTTTGTCTAAAACATTTTTTCAGCCGATCACTTTCTGCGATGTTAATCAAAGTGCATAATTAAAACGGGACACCTTGTATATACATACAAAAACACACACCCACGTATACACGCGAATATATCAACATACACGTATATTAAGTCGTGCTCATTTTTAATTAGAAATTAGAACATAAATTAGAACATATCCAACTTTTCAGAGAATTTCACTGAAACCACGTTTCCATAAGATTTGTGTGGGGTTTTACATACTAATGCATTTCGATGCGCTGATTATGAATATGACAATAAAATTAATCAAGGTCAAAATGAAGAAAAATTTTTTGTATAAAGTTTTTTTGTATATTCTTTTCATTATTTTAATAAATATTGATTTTAACAGAAAAAGTTTCAAATAAAAGTTATATCTTTCTTAAAAATGTAACTTTTATGTTCTATATATTATTATTAAAAACACTATTTTACGAGGAAAACATAATTTCTTTCTATTTTAAAATCGTAAAATTTTAAGCCCATCTACTATTTAGGGGTATGTTATCATCTTAGCTTATCCTTTGGAAAGTACATGGATATAGTGAGTTCTTCTCATACGAGGGGACTCCACTTCCATATAACCTAAACCTATTTATGATTAAAAATTAAAATTCGGTTTGGGGGTGAATCTTGCGTGGGAAGTTACAAACCCATGCAGATTTATAGAAACATGCTCAATCGAAAGAACATTCAAAATATAATACGCATTTTTCTCACAAAATACTTTTACAGTAATGTGTACAATATAAAAGTTGCATTTTTAAGAGAGGTACAACTTTTATTTGAAACTTTTTGTATTAAAATCAAAATTTATTAAAATAATTAAGAAAATATATAAAAAGAAGCTATTTTTTTCTTCATTTGGACTTTAAAAATGATCTTGTCGTTAATTTTTATTGTCATATTCGTAATCAGCGCGTCGAAATGTATTAGTATATAAAAATTTCAGAACAATCGGAAATATGTTCTTTTCAGAAGTGCACTTTAAGAAAGCATTTCAAAGCTTAAGGGGATCCCTCATTGAAAGGATCCCTGGTGAACTCTTACACGATTACAGCGCCCTCATCCCATATCTCTCTTTATCACGTTATTTATAAAGAAGATACACTGCTTTTTCCACTCTACTGTACCGATATTTTAGGTACATACGGACCGAAATTTTTGGGCACATACCATTTATTAATTAGACTACTAAACTCAATTTTCACAGTTCCACAAGTTTTTATTGTGCAATTCGCTATTGGGTATGCTATTGTTTTATGCATAAAAGTTACAAAACATTTATACAAGGCTAATGTCTTTATGAAGTGATAGCTTTAGACGCCATGTTGATCTAAGAAGCCGATAAATAAATATATAATTTTATACTTTTTTTTCTTTCTCAGTATATAATCAGTTTTGCCCTGTCCGTTCGCATTTATACTTCAACCGTAGAAAAGGATTTTTAATTCTATACAGACAATAAAAAATGGCACCTGCCCAAAAATTTTGGTGTTTTATCGGTAAAACAGATAGGTTGAAGGATTCCCTTAAGGAGATCCCTCAACCTATCTGTTTTATCGATAAAATACTATAATTTTTGGATAGATGTCATTTTTTTATTGCATAGAATTAAAAATCCTCTGGCGCGAGACGCGTGCACGTATTGTACATGCTGACAATAAGTGTAGAGTGTTCAATATGCTGTATTTGTTTACATTTTTTGTAAGAGACTCTGCCCTTCTTTCCATATCCTCACCCCGAAAAAAGTTTCCATTTTGTGCAATAAACACAAAGCATAATTTGGACAATATAACATAATCCAAATTTTAGTTTTAAATAGAAATAGGTTTGAGTTAGGTTGTATCTTCAGAAAGTGAAAACCCTCCTGTAGAGATGGAGTGGAAGCCACTGTGTTCGTACATATACTTTGCAAAACGAAGCGAAGTTCAAAGTTAGAAATAGAGTGAATTTTGCTTCGTCTTGCAAAATACATCCATGGACACAGTGAGTTTTGTTCTCTCTACGAAGGGCTCCACTTTTAGAAAATATAATTTAACTCTCAAACCTATTTTTTTATTTAAAACTTAAATTTCATCTCAGCTCGTTATTATATTACGTGTTTACTTTATAACAAACTTGAAGTATATCAAAGTCGAGATCATTAAAACTTAGTTTCATTTTTTCTAATCTTATTTTTACATTTTTTCTATCTTATTTTAATAAATCTCTTCAAAATCACACATTTCCGGAACCACAATAGAACACTACAAAATTCAAAGTGCGTATTATCTAAAAACGCATCCTCTATAAAAATGAAAATTTATGTGTGATCATAATGATGTGTAAATTAATGTAAACTTTCTTGTTAATAACTTTTTAATAAAACAATGAGTGACGCTTAAAGTCTTTTGATACTTCTCAGGATAGTGACCTTAGCAATATATATCAAGGTCATTGAAATGATCTTTTTTAGAGAAAAAAATTTGAATATGCACTACTCACTTCAAATCATCATAACTTTGTAAAAAAATTATAATATTGTTAATAAAAAATACATTTTAAGGAAGAAATGTTAAATTTTACGATGCAATTAAAACTGTTTCGAAAAAAAAATTTCTTCTCGTACACGCCATCATAATTGAAATGTATTCTTGAATTTTGCAAGGCTTTAGTAGCGCCTGAAATTCTTATAGAAAAATGTGCGTTGAATCATTGAAAAGCTGAAGCTTTAAATTTTAAAATGCTTTCTTAAATATCACTCCACAACTATTTTTCATAAAGTTAGTTGAGCTTAAATTTGATCTTTTTTTTTTTGCATTGATTTTAAATGACCTTTTAAAACTTTAGAAAAAGACATCAGGCTCGAATCGTCTTAGCCATGCCATATGTTGTTAAGATCACTGTCCTGAGTAACATTCGAAAGATTTTAGCCGTTGTGTATTAAAAAGTTATTAACAAAAGAATTTCCACGAATGCAACATGCGATTATATAAATTCCTAAGCAATGTTGAATTGACTTCTAAGAAGGTCAAGATTATTTTAACTTTCTATGCAAAGCGGTGTCCACTTCACATCACCCTTGAGTCAGTGCGAAACAAGATCTATTATGCGAAGGGAGAAATTATAGACTGCACTGATTCAGAAGTAGTATGGGGTAGACCTCACTTCGCATGGAAAGTTGCAAATCCATATGGAACCATACAATAATAGACCTCGTTTTCCGCTGACTCAGGGATGGTATGAGGTAGACTTCGCTTCGCATGAAAAGTTGCAAACCCATGTGGAATCATACAATAATAGACCTCGTTTTGCACCGACTCAGAGATGGTGTGGGGTGGACCTCGCTTTACATAGAAAGCTAAAATAACTTTCTTTGACCTTCTTAGAAGTCAAATCAACATTGTTTAGGAATTCGTATAGTTGCATGTTGCATATACGATTTTGTTAATAACTTTTTAGTAAACGAGCAACGGCTACAATCTTCTGAATGTTACTCAGGACCTTGACAATATATGTCAAGGTTAAGACAATTCGACCCTGATGTCTTTTTCTAAAGTTTTACCTAATAATTGAATACAATGATATATAAATCAATATAGATATTACTTACATAAAAAGATAATTGCAATTCCAATCAGAAAATAGATGATGGTTCCAGATAGAAGAAGCCTCAGAAGGTAATATAGCATTGGTACAAGGACAATTATCGCCCAGAATATAGTGTTAATGAGAGAATAATATCTCCTTTTTAACATGAACGAGTCTGTCCTAGGCACACCGCTCATGGCAAAAAAATCCCCCGTCTTATAAAAACTTTCTGCCATACGATCCTATGAAGTAAAGTTTATCTAACATTATTGTATTATATTAAACAAGTTAATGTAAACTTATTTAATAAATCATTATTTCTTAATATCATTATCAATAAACTTATAAAGTCTTACACTACCTACTATTTACTTAAAGAAACAATTCCTTTATTTGTAATTGTATGTGCGACTCTTTCACCTAAAATATTTAGTTAGATATGCTTTTAAATGATTTATTAACGTGTACAATAATATGCGATTACCATTTGTAAAATCTATAATTATTCGAAATTATTCGATTATACACTTAAATTTAAAAAAAACATTAATACACAGAAGTTATATCATACGCACGTACCTATTTATAGGCATTTAGAGTTTTGAAAAAAAAAAAAAAATTAATAACATTGAATTTTAACTAAAATAATTTTTTTAAATCGTGTAAAGAAAAATCTAAGGTTTTTTAAAATAAAACCAACTTTTTGTCTCCCTTCAAGTCATACAACTTATGTCTGAAACATTTTTCGATTTAACGCAGTGTTTTTGAGATATTTGGTAGATCCTTTAAAATGGGATACCCTATATATGAGATATAAAAATTGTATATGGGGAGGATATATTTTATATTTTAAATTTGACATAATTTTATATAAATTATGAAATATCTTAGGAAATATTCACTTTTTGATTCTTATCTAAATACATACATAAAATAATAGGAATAAATTGGTATAAAGAAAACATATTTGTTTTTAAGAAAAAATATATACTTGCTGCAATTTATTTTTCTTAAAAAACAACTATGTTTTTTTTACACCAATTGATTCTTGCATAGACATATTAACATAGCCTGCTTGAGATAGTGAAGCTCGAAGTTGGAGTGTCCTGCTGAGAGAAAAGAATAGCATGAATTTAATATTTCTTTTTTTAATGAACGTATCAGCGCACCAGCATGCGTGACTTTAATAATTTGAAATTGCATCATGCGTGTGTCAGAGAGAGAAAGAAATTTATGCTATCCTTTTCTCTCAAGAAGACATGCCACTTATAAGCAGTCTATGGCAGTTACGCTCCAAAACGTAAGTAATCGAGGGAAATTTTACTCGGTTGATTCGAACCAATCGAAAAGATTTAAAAGAGTTTCGGAAGAGCTTCGGAAGAGCAAGTAAAATTCCTCGGTGTTGTTTGTATTTGTTATTATTTTCACAAAAGAGTACTTGTTACTTTTTTTATAAGAGTATCGAGACAAAATAACCGAAATTAATATTTTTCGAGATATTTTATAATTTTTTAAAAATTGTGTTAAAAAAATTAAAACTATAAAATATTTTAAACTGTAAACATCCAATTTTCGATGCTACTCTTATAACTTTTTATGTCAAATATTGCAAGAATTTATATAAGAAAAATTTAAGATATACTTATTTTATGATTACTTATATTATTATTTTAAGATATACTTCATTAGTGTTTTGAAAAGCTCTCGAGGTAAGATACGATAATATATAATAAAAAATAGGGGATTCCATTTAAAAAATTCAAAGTGACCATTACCTTGCTCTGACCTTGACAACGCCACCCAAGATCAAACAAATGGTACCATTTTATGTCTCCCTTCAAGCCATACAATTTATGTCTGAAACATTTTTCGACTTAACACAGTGTTTCTGAGATATTTGAATGGATCCTTTAAAATGAGACACTCTGTATATTCAATTTTTATTCATGCTACTCTTTTTTATGTCAAATATTGTGAGCAATCGATTTATGTTGAAAATATTAAAGTAAATTCATTAAAAAAAAATTTCTCATAACCTCACAAAATTCTTCAACTCCACACATATACAGGGTGGACCAATAACTCTGTCCACCTGGAATATCTCCGTTATTTTTAGATATACAAAACTTTTGTATTTATAAAAGTTGTATAGTACCAAGAGGGCCGTAATATGCTATTAATAATTTTTTTGTAGGTGGAGGCGCTTCAGAGATTTCAAGGTCATCTCATTTTTTTAAATGGAACCCTCCCTTTTTTACCTATTCTTATAGCTTATCTTGAGAGCTTTCCAAAACACTATAATAAAGTATTTATTATAGTGTTTTGGAAAGCCCCGATATTTTTCCTGTCTACATCTCTTCAGGAGGATAAAGAGGGTGTTATATAGAAGTCTGAAACCAAGAGAATCTATAACTTGGCATATACACCAAATAAAATATATATATATAAATGCCTTGTGCACGTCTTAAAAAAATTTTTTTGCGAACAATGTTTGAAAAAAAAAAAAAAAAAAAAAAAAATTACGCATTACCATCCGCGTTTTTAGGCTCTTATCGCTCGTTTCATAATTATCATGTTGTTAAATACATAGAGCCGTATTCTTTATCAATTTATTTAGAACTACACTCCGAGCTAAAAAGATCGTGTTCTCATTATTTCCATAGATTAATAAAAACTGACAGGAGAAGTGTCGATGTGGAGCTGAATAGCTCAGTGGTAAGAGCAGTCGCCCGGCAAGCGAAAGACTCGGGTTCGATTCCCGATTCAGCGACTTCGCCCCGATATTTTTCCTGTCTACATCTCTAAAGAGGGTGTTATAGAAGTCTCAAACCAAGAGAATCTATAACTTGCATATACACCAAGTAAAATATATGTATAAATGCCTTGTGCACATCTTAAAAAAATTTTTTCGCGAACAATTAATGTTTGAAAAAAAAAAAAAAAAATTGACGCATTACCATCCGCGTTTTTAGGCTCTTATCGCTCGTTTTATAATTATCATGTTTACTATAATAAAATATCATGTATACTATATAAAGTATCTTTCTAAAAACCCTATAAATTTTGTCTAAAATATTCTTTTGTATAACGTCAAGTTTCGGAAAAAACTTGCAACACTTTATGGGAAACATACTGTATATTAAAGAAAATAGATGTTTTTATCGTATTATCTATGTCATACAAGAGTATATCTTTACTGAAATAAATTTTTTCTACTCAATATAATACAAAATACACACATTTTGATACATTACCTTTTGCTGATAAAGCTTATGCAACCATTCAGCAGCAGCTTCGTCTCCCTCTGGCACTTGTTCAATAGGAATTCTTTTGGCATACATATGTCCCATCAGCGGTTTTCCTAAAAGGAGGTTCTTCATAGTCGGTTTTATTGAATCAGATGGTTTAAATGCTATTTGAATATCATAAATAGCTGTTGCTTTGCCTCTCATATGTGGAATGCTGGCAATAAAGCCTTTTGTGCGTGGTGTTAAGTGATATTTTAATACTGGTAGACCTTTTTCAATGGCAAATTTTTGACTGGCTTCCAATTTTTTTGATGTGAAGCGCGTACCCTCAGGATAAAGTAGAAGCTATAATCAAATCATAGTTAGATGTTATAAATTATTTATTACTATTATGTGTGTTTATTATTTGTTAAACAGCATTTAAAATAATTCATCGAATACATTTGTACTTAGAGGGAAAAACAAAGACATACCCACATCGTGTCAGGATATTCAACTAATTCCTTAATTTGATTCTTAATGTTTTCCTTGTCTTTTTCCCAACTTCTTTCAAGGAAGATGCTTTCGGCAAATTTCCAGGCCCATCCTAGCGTCGGAATATATTGTATCGATTTCTTAGCATATGCTTTGCAATTCTAAAAAATAAAAATTAAGATATATAAAGATATATTTTTTTTTTAAACAATGTGTAAATAAAGATACATTTCGTGAGAGAATACTTACGCCTAGCAATTTCACACGATCACATAGTAGCCAACCTATCAGCCAATCAGTCTCATAACTATGATTCATTAAAAGATAGCCATGTTCATTGCCAAAATATTTGTCAAAATCCTTTTTATCTATGTACAATATAAGATTTGATCCTGCCCACCATTCTGCCATAAATACTAACTCTAATAAAAATAAAATTCAAAACATTAATATCTTGGAAATAAATATTTTAATTCAAGAGATAAAATAAACTTACGACAATAGAAGGAATAACAGAGATAATAATTAATCTTGCGATACAGGTACTTGGAAAAGGGTCTTAGTCCAAAATATAAAATGCATTGGAAGAAATTGATTATCAAACCAGATGTAAAAAATGTAATAGCAAACATAAGATGTATCACTGATGATTGTTTTAGGGAGGCGAGCACTCCCATGATGATATAAGTAAACAGTATTAAACTGTACACTTTATAGAAAACATAAATATTCACTTTTTCTACCTGTAACAAAAGCATTCACCAATCTTTTAATTAATAAGATAAAATTACATTCACACACATACATACATACATACACACATACAAAACTCTTAAAATTTTTTTAATTTTTAAGTTTAATTATAGCAATTCTATTATATTTATAATTATTATGGTGATCGAAAAACTTTGAAATTTCAAAATACTTTCTTTTGATAATAAGTAACTATATGTGCAAGTATTTATACAAGCGAATAAGAACTTGCCTGACGATGAAAAAATTATTATGGCGTTATGTACAATTTTTTGATGCCTGAATGCTGTCATACAAATTGGCAATTCAATTGCTCAGGTATCAATTGGCTCATCATTTAAATTCATTTGAAAGACAGATGATAAATTATATACAATGAATCGTATACAATAAAGAGAAAAACAGACATTTATATATATAATAAAATATGAGAAAAAGATGTAAAATTTTCTCGAAACGATAAAAATAAAATAAGATACAGGTTTTATACATAACATTTACTAAAGAGCTTGTTTCTTAGATGCAGACAAATAGGATATATTTTCTGCTTTTTAACACACTCTTGAGTATAAAAAAATAACATTAAAAATTATATTATTCATGTGAATGATTTAGATGAAATAAATACTATAAGTTTTAATCAACTTCAAAGCTTTAATCAAGTTTAGTTTTAAAATTTAAATTAATTTAAAAAATAGGCTATAGATTAAGTTTATTAACATTATCTAATAGGAAATTGAGCAGAATGAGAGCCAGGCGTGGTAAATAAAATGCAAATTCTTTCTTTTCAGTGTGACTTTATTAATAATTCATTTTCAAATCTGTTCAATTTGTTTCATTCTCTAACCATGATCAACAACTGTTGCATTCTGTATTGCGACAGTTGCTGATAATGACCCAAATATCAGAGACTGAAATATACAAAACTGAATTCTTACAAGTGACAATACATATCAAAGCTTTAATTTTTCTCTGAAATTTATTAATGTCACAAACCTTAAGACATTAATAATAATCATAAATGTTATTAATTATGTAACTTTTTTAAAACTTGTTCCTTTTTTTTAGAATTGCTTAAATTTTCGAAATTTGAACTTGTATTATAAATTCAGATTTTTAGAAATTGAATTATTGAATTACAATTATATATCTTGGATGTGTTTATCTTGGAAACATAGATGAAGCGTTATGTAACAGACATCAAATTAAATGGAAGTTTAATAAGTGTTAATTTCTGGAAGAATTACTATTATTATAATATCACCTTATTACAACAATAATATATAATCTATTTACAAATATCTTCCAAATAATCCAAATACATTATCTGAAACGAAAAAAAATCTATATTGCACTATAAAAGAATAAAACTGATAGAGGTTAAAAAAACTAATAACATTATTTTGAGAAAATATTTGAAGTTATATAATATTTGACATTGATATGAAAATTGTGAAAAACATAAAATATACAATGTATTGATTGTAAATATTTGTTTCTATGTGTTTTATTGTCTAGATTTACAAGCATATATAAACCAATTTTTTATTTCTCTCTCTATACATAAAGTATATAAAGTATAAAGTTTTCTTTAACAAAAATACACACACGCATATGTATGTATGTATGCGTGTGTGTGTGTATATATATATATTTTTTTAATATATATTGTATGTATAATACTTAACATTAAACTATTACATCAATACCGGCGTGCAAAATGTATATTCGATTGAAAAATATTTCCCATGCTATCCGCGAGAATATTTATTATAGCTCACCTAATTTAGCGTTCCGGATGAAGAAAAATTACGTGTGCCAAGGTACGTCGAACAAAAGTGAAAGGATCAAAGTGCGAAGTTCTAAGACTCACTGACAATAATGTGCATCAATGTGTGCACTTTGGTGTTTGTTTGCTGTTTTATGCCTTATAAACTGGCAGAATCACGCTTTCGTGCTGTATGGGAGCAAATGACAGATGATAGGTGCGATAAAACGAATGGCTGACTCTTGTGTTTGCGCGCGTCTTGGGTTAGCTATTACAATAGAAATATATACGTACATATATGAATATATATATATATGTGTGTGTGTGTGTGTGTATTATGTATATGTATATATGTATATGTATATATGGATATGTATATATGGATATATATGATGTGTGCATATATATATTATATATATATATATATATATATATATATATATATATATATCAATAAATCTATTTTTTTTATCTGGTTGCATTAGTTTATCTCTTTTGCTTTCCAATGGCAGTATAAAGGCCGCAGCACACACTTTTGCATAAGCGCATAACCATAAGCATAAGAAAATTGATTGGTTCATTTTCTTATGCATATACTTGGGGACCAATCAATTTCCTTATGCTTATGGTTATGCGCTTATGCAAAAGTGTGTGCTGCGGCCTTAAACGAATTTACCTCGTTTCGTGCCAATAAAAAAGAAGAAATCTTTTTTGCTCTATCCCTAACAGCACACATGTCCGAAAGATGTCCAAAGGATATCCATAGGATATCTCGATATCCTATGGATATCCTTTGGACATCTTTCGGACATGTGTGCTGTTAGGGATATTGGAAGAAAAAAGATAAATTCTCTCTCTATGCAGCTAGTTCAGTTAAAAAGAACATATCTAGGGCCGATTTCACAACTCGAGTTAATTCGAGTTTAATATGTTAAACTAGGTCCTGATTGGTCCATTCACTACTTAGGCCCGTTCTACAATGAATCGCAAGTCGCATGGACATAAGAAAGGGGATTGCTTGATTAGACACAGTACGATTAGACACAGCCAATCATATCGACCGATGCCTAAGGTAACCAACACGATTAAGCACGATTAGCCAATCAAAGCCAGTTGTGTCCAATTGTACTGTTTGTCCAATTGTGTCTAATCGGAGGTGTTTCGTAAGAAATACAGGACAGAGTGTATTGCTGCGGGGGTAAAGCTCAACGGGTGAGGGAAAAGAAATATCTACTGCAACGGAATATGAGGCATGTAAGATGGCGGCGGATATTAATTTCACGGAGTGTGATATTTTTGAATTCCTTAATATTCAGAAATGATTCGGAATAACATAGCGATTTCAGATGATAGATGATTTCACGGAATCTCTCATATTTTATTCGATTTACGTCCGTGCGACGTAAAAATAGACGCTACATCTGAGGCATCTAAGATGGCCGCGACAATAAACCCCTTACCCCTCAAGCTTCACTCCCCTCGTCAAAAAGAGTACTTTATGCTCTGTCCTGTATTTCTTACGTCCATGGTAAGTCGTAAGTCATAGGCAAATTGACCAATCATGGTTGATTATTTTTGAAATAATCAGAAAAAATCATAACGTAAAGACATATCTTACTTTGCGTTGACTGAAGTTTAAGTTTACGTACGGAGTTAAATTTACGATCTATACTTAACGTAACGTAATGCCTCTGATTGGTTACGCAAAACGCGTTACGCGAAAAATATAATCCATGGGATCGCACCCTAATAAGAGTGACGTGTAAACGTAGTCACTGACAGACAGAGTTACAGACAAAGGCCGGTATTCATAGTCGGATCTTACATTTAAGATCGTCTTAAGTCTGCTTGGAGGTTGACTTAAGACCTCATTCAACCAATCAAATAGCTGCGTAGCATTTCAAGCTCGAACTTAAGACGATCTCAAATGTAAGATCGGACTATGAATACCGGCCATAGTCCGATCTTATATTTGAGATCGTCTTAAGTTTGAGTTTGAAATGCTACGCAGCTATTTGATTGGTTGAATGAGGTCTTAAGTCAACCTCCAAGCAGACTTAAGACGATCTTAAATATAAGATCGGACTATGAATACCGGCCTATGAATACCGGCCAAAGACCGCATATGTCTCTTTCTCTTTCGCACATCTGTTTCTCTCTCTTGCATATTTCTTTCTCCCTTGCACAATTTCGATGAAAAATGGCGGACCTCTTCTGATGTCGCCACTCTGATTATAGGCTCTCTAGAACTCATCTGCTCTAACCGCCATCTTACTTGTGATCCAAGTGCTCTCTGGAGTACATTGAAGCATGCGACGCGAACAAACCTATAAGCTTTAAGCACATAATATTGCATAGGCGCATAACCATAAGCATAAGGAATTTGATTGGTCCACAAATATATGCATAAGAAAATAAACCAATCAATTTTCTTATGTAATATGCTTATGGTTATGTGCTTCTGCAATTTTATGTGCTTCCACCTATAAAGTTTGTTCGCGTCTCTGGCGAAAATAAAATGTAAATCGAGCGTTAACAAAGCAGGAATTGAAGAGTAAGGCTGATAGCAGAGAACGTAATCGTGAACGTACAGTAAGACAGAGAAAAACGTATACGTAAATAGCATGTATATTTTTCTCTGCCTTAAGGTCATTCTACAATGGCTGTAGCATAAGATTATAAGGCGTAAGACTCAAAAAATTGACCAATCACAGTCGAGTATTCTCTTAATACTTGACTATGATTGGTCAATTTCTTGAGTCTTACGCCTTACAACCTTATACTACGGCCATTGTAGAATGACCTTTACTTTACGTCCACGACTACGACAAACGTAAGCGCTCACGTCTAGTTCTTTGCCATCAGCCTAAGGGTCATAGCACATAGCAAAAGTCTTAAAACGTAGACGTAAGTCAACGCACAAGCTTTGGCGTATGTCGTAATGTCGTGCAACAAATAGACAATACGTGAATTGAAAAAGCATTGAAAGTAAGTAAATGATCTAATCATTTTTAAGTTTTTATTAATAAAGAATAATATTATAATTATATATAATTATCCTGAAATTAAATAATGCAATTTTTATTCGTTCTTCAAGTATGATAATAGTGAAATGAAAATATCTATTTTGATTACGTGATATATAATATTCTAAGTTAGTTGCAATTTTTTTTATAATATTCTTTATTAATAAAAACTTAAAAATGATTAGATCATTTACTTACTTTGTGCGTTGACTTACGTCTACGTCTTAAGACTTTTAAGACCATTACGCCATGCTATGTGCTATGGCCCTAAATCTAATGTAACGGAAGAGAGACGGAAGCGTAAATGAAGCTACTAAAAGGCATAAATTGAGACATCGGAACGTAAAGAAAGCGCCTATTAAGTATTAGAAGAGCGTTAACGAATGATTATTAAACTCTCCGACAAGCGTGAACGAAATATCTTTCAAACAGAGCGTCATCAAACTCTTCGATGACAAACATGAATTAAAAATATCTAATATAATTTTTAAAGAACGTAAATGTCATCAAACTTATTAGCGAATACGAATTAAATATTTATACTCTACTATATTTATACTGTACCGTTAATATTGCACTTTACATTTTAAATAGATATAATAGGACGAGACCCGATAGCGCACGAGCCCGATAGCGCACGAGTGTTGCTAATTGGTCAATTAGAACACTAGGACCTTTTGATTGGTCAACTGTGCTGGTTACCTTAAGCATCGGCCGATATGTGTGGTTGTGTGCTATCGGGCTTGTGGGCTAACGGGATCCTCCCAATATAATAAACGGATAATTTTCGTTTATTCGCCAGACATTTACTTGTCCGACTTATAAAAATCAATTTAATATCTGAAGCTCCTGCATCGAGATCAGAAATTAAATTGAAGTATATCTTTAATCTTATTTGCTACTCTTTGTAAACTTTATATAATTTTCATAACTAAACTTAAATACGAGAAAGATAGCACATCGCACGTCGCGTAATGATAAACGAACGAACTAACAGATCCTTGTGTGCTTACACGAAATTTTGACGTCCTTAAAATTATTTCTTTAAATTGTTAAAGTGTATGAAAAGCATTTCATACATGTTTTATGTAGTTTAAGCGTGTAGAAATGTGGATAAAGAGTTTCTAAGTCAATCAATCATTGAAGTGTGCGGGAAGCGTATTGGAGTATTTCGTTTACGTTTTATGGAGCATTTAGGAAGTGTAAATGAAGAGTTTCTAAATGTCAATCATTGAATGTACGGGAAGCGTATTGGAGTATTTCGTTCACATTTTATGGAGCGTTTAAGAAGTGTAAATGAAGAGTTTCTAAATGTCAATCATTGAAGTGTGCGGGAAGTATATTGGAGTGCTTCGTTCACATTTTATGGTAGGAAGTGTAAATGAAGAGTTTCTAAATGTCAATCATTGAAGTGTGCGGGAAGTATATTGTGGAGTGCTTTGTTCACATTTTATAGAGCGTTTAAGAAGTGTAAATGAAGAGTTTCTAAATGTCAATCATTGAAGTGTGCGGAAAGCGTATTGGAGTATTTCGTTCACATTTTATGGAGCGTTTAGGAAGTGTAAATGAAGATTTTCTATATGTCAATCAATGAAGTGTGTGGGAAGTATATTGGAGTGCTTCGTTCACATTTTATGATAGGAAGTGTAAATGAAGAGTTTCTAAATGTCAATCATTGAAGTGTGCGGGAAGTATATTGTGGAGTGCTTTGTTCACATTTTATAGAGCGTTTAAGAAGTGTAAATGAAGAGTTTCTAAATGTCAATCATTGAAGTGTGCGGAAAGCGTATTGGAGTATTTCGTTCACATTTTATGGAGCGTTTAGGAAGTGTAAATGAAGATTTTCTAAATGTCAATCAATGAAGTGTGTGGGAAGCGTATCAGAGTGCTTTGTTCTCATTTTATTATGAAGTTTAAGAAACGTAAAGGAAAACATGAAATATTAAAGCGTAAAGGAAGCGTAACGGAATGCTTCGTACACACTTTATGAAGCGTTCAAGAAATATGCTTGAAGATTTAAAATCGCGAAGAGTTAATGAGAAGTCATAAAGCTTCTCATCAATAAAGCTTCTAAGAAGCGTTTATTCTGTTCGTTTACGCCTCCTTGACACTTCGAGAAGCGTTCAATTTTCACCAGGGTTGACCAGTCATAGTCAATTATTTCAAAAATAATCAACCATGATTGGTCAATTTGCCTACGACTTCCCATACAGCACAAGATATTCTATGAACATCCTAGAATATTTTATGAATATTTGAATATTCTACGAATGTCCTAGAATGTTTATGGAATATCTTGTGCTGTATGGGTTGCGACATTACGATACGACCAATGTAGATCCGGCTTAAGACTGCCTTCGCCGCCGCGAGCTTCTAACCACGTGCATTAGCCGATCTTTTTAAATTAATTTTTCGTTAATTCCCACAGGGCACAAAGACGTCTAAAAGACAACTAAAACTGGACATATTTTCGTCAAAGACGTCTTTTAGTTAGAGACAATAGTCGACTAAAAGTCGGCTCATGACCCGAATTTAGTCACTAATCTGTCAAGCCAAAAAATGACTAAAAGATGACTAAAAGACGACTAAATCATATCATAATTTTTAAACAAAACATATATATTTCAATCCCTAAATAATAATACAATTGATCTATTTCATATAAAATTTTACATAAAAATTTTGTATAAAAATTTTATTTATAATTTATACTTGCATATTGCACTTTACATCTTAAAGATAATGAAAAATTATTTTCGTTTATTCGCCGGACATTTACTTGTCCGACTTATAAAATCAATTTAATATCTGAAACCCGTGCTTTAGATCAGAAATTAAATCGAACAATACATTTTTAATCTTATTTGTTATTTTTTGCAAACTTTATATAATTCTCATAACTGAAACTTAAATACGAGAAAGATAGCGCATCGCACGTCGCGTAGCGATAAACGAACGAACTAATACATGCTTGCGTGCTTGCGAGAAATTTTGATCTCCAAGACCGGATATCCAAATTGTGGACGTCCAAATATTGACCGTTAACGGATGTCTTAAATCGGATGTATGATGGACATTTATTTTATGTCCATGGACGTGCGGACGTAAAATAGACATAAAATGAATGTCCATAGAATGTCCTGTGTTGTCTGGGTTTGGACGTACAAATTCTAGACTTTAAAAGGTCGACGAAAGGACGTCTTGTTTTAGTCGTCTTTTCGACATGACGAAAAGACATCTATACGTCTTTTCGCCATGTCCAAAAGTCGACTTAGAAAAGACATCTTTTCGTCGTTTTTTAGTATTTTGTGCCTTGTGGGTTATTGCTAATATCGCAAAACAATAGAGGACCTTTCTTCTTAATTTAAGTCAATCTTCCTTCACACTTCAGAATGCGAAAAGTTTTCAGCCACCCTATATATGTTTTCTTTCTTTTTTTAATCTCTGTCTATGTAAACAGATATTTAATAAAATAATTTAAAAATAATTTAAAAATAATTTTTACATTAATTTCTTTGTTGGAAAGGGTGCAATTGAAGCAAAAATTTGATTTAATTATATAAATATAAATTTATACAGGATGAGTTTTAATGGTTGTGTCAATCTTTTTATCATGCGGGAGATTACCGACTACATGAAAAAATGATCGGTACATAAATGTCAATTATTTGAATTGAGCGTATCGAAGGTCCGAATATAATATGTATAATAGTAATAATAATAATAATAAATATGTAGCTTTAATAATAATAATAATAATAAATCTATACTACATAATTTCAGCTTTTAATTTGCTTTAATAATACACATTATATTCGGACTTTAGATACGATCGATCCAAATAATTGACATTTATGTACCGATCAATTTATTATGCAGTCGGTAATCTCCCGCATGATAAAAAGATTGATACAAGCATTAAAACTCACCCTGTATATACATATAATTGTACTGTATTGTACTGTAATTGTAATATTGTATTAATATAATGTATATTTGTATATATATATATATATATATATATATATATACATTTATATTTATTAATATAGTTTATCATTATATTTATTTTTTCAACAATTTTTTTCATTTTTTTTTCTTAAAAACGACATAAAAATTATTTTTCTAAATATTTTTCAATTTTATTATCTTTATTTTTTTCATTATATGTAGATTTTTTTCTAATAAATTGTATATAATTGATACATTTACTTTACATGATTTTCTTTTTATATTTTTGTATTATTTTTTTAATAGCATATTATTGCATATTTTTATGCTAAAAATAAATCAACTATATTCAAGAAATATAATATTATTACTATATTAAAGCCGAAAGGAAAATATTTGAAAAATGCAATCTAAAACAAAACTTGTTTTTCATTTATAAAGGTTGGTAATACTGCGCGAGTAAGTCGATTCTCAGAGAATTTTTAAAATCTTTATATCTACTGGCACAACGCGAAGGCAAGTCTCTGCAGTTTCCTGCTAGTTGCGTTAGAAAACAGTCGCTAGTGATTCAATATTCCTATATTACACATTTTTTGTGTCAAAAGGATAATATAAACTCGATCGTAAGTAAAACAATCGATTACGTTGATCTCTTTGTCTCAATTGTTCGAAACAAAAATCGAGTCTTTTTCGATATCGATAGACATCATATTTGATTGTATGCATTTGCTCTTTTCCTTTCCACGTGAATTGTATAGAAAATAATTACTACCAAATGCTATTGCTTTTTATTTTATAATGGCATTTTTTTCTTACTTCTTACTGCTTTTTCGTGTATGCATATATCTTTGATTTTGATTTATTTAATTGTCATGGATTTATATTGTGATTGCATTGTATATTTTCTTATATCATAAACTTTTGCAATTTCTCGGAAATTTTAGTCGATTAATGGGAAAGTGCTGTTTTAACCAATTGAAATCGATAAGTCGTTCAGTTAGTTTTTCTTTTATAGTATTATTTTCATTAATATTGCATTGCAATTTTTCTTTCATTTTTCTTTCATTATTATTATAGTGCATTTATGTATATAAGTGCATTTTATGCAAAATTATATAAAATACGCACAAAAATAGAATTTAATTAAATTAATTTTCTTACAAATTTGCATTGAATCTGCTTTTTTACATTATATTATATTTTTGACATTCAAATTTACACACACACACACACACACACACACACACACACACACACACACACATATATACTAATGTTGGAGAAAAAAAAGAAAAAAGAGAAAATTAAAACGAAAAAGTTCATGTTAATATATTACAGTTCATATTAATAATTACAATTTTTGATAATATATTTGTTATCAAATTTTCTACTATATTTTAATTTATGTTTTTTTAGCATTTCATAATTTTATTCTTTCTCTTTACACATTGATATATTTAAAGTTTATATATTGTCATTTCTTTGTATATTTCTTTTTAGTCGATAAAATCAATATTTTTAATTTTTAATTTTAAAATATGGTTCTAAAGGTAATTATAAATTTTATATATAGATATATATGTATTAAATTATGTAATAAATTTATAAAGTTCTTATATATTTGGAAAGTTATCTTTAAGTTTCTTAAGAATATAGCAACTTTAATTTGCAAATTTTATGATATATATTTGAATTCTTAATATTTTAGTAATATAGAATATTTCTGGATTTTTAAAAATATCAAAAATGTTATTATAAATATATCTCTAAACTTTAAATTTTCTCCAATAAGCATGTTTGTGTTGAAAATAATAGTAATTATAATTAAATTTATATTAACATAATAAATTATATTAACATTATACGCGTAACAGTTATACCAGCCTTCTTAGCATTCTATTTATAGCACAATATAGACTGTTACGAAGGAATATTCTTTGTTCAGTTCAGCAAATTGAGTGCATCATTGCAATCTTGCTCTTTCAATTATTAATTCTAAAAGATTATGAATTTCAACATTTGTCTAATAAATATATGTACACATATACATATACCTATATATATATATATATATATATATATATATATATATATATATATACATACATATAAATTTATTTTGTATTGTATAAATATAATAAAATGTAAAGAGATTTGATAACTATATATATAGAAATGAAAAGAATAAATATATTTTCTTTATTATGAAAAAAGTTTATTATATTTTGTGTATCTTTTTTACTACGTATACACATATATATACATATGTGTGTGTATGTAATAAAAAAATTATACAAAATGTAATAATAAATTTTTTTTGTAATAGTAACTTTCACATATATGTATGTGTATATGTATATGTTCATATGTGTATATTATATAACAAAAAGATTAAAATAAAGTTTAATCGCTTTTTTAATGATAAAAGAATTGATAGATTTTTGAAACTTGTTTTATATATCTGCTAGTGCACCTATAAGATAAAATAGATTTGTTGCACTTGAAACACATGGTGGCTCACATGGCTTCTTGAAGAAACGCTTATTTATGTATCCATAAATAGCTGCACATATCTCATTCCTTCATCACTTCCATAGAAGAAAGAAGCTGTACTGTGTGAGCTTGAGAAAAAGAAAGAGAGAGAGAGAGAAGTTACTTGTTTGAATAAGAAATGCATATTCTATGAAAAAATCTTTTATTTATTTAATTTCTGTTTAAATGAATTTAAAAAATATTTAAATTTGAAAGTCTTTATAAATTTAATTTTTTAAATATAATATATATAAGATATAATCGCGCGTAACATAAAAATTAATATGTAAAAGAAGGGAACTTTTAAAAGAGTAAAAATAAGTATTGTTTTTAATTAATTTTAATTTAGTAAATAATTAAATATGTACAAATATAAAAAATAATATTTTATGAAAAATTAATATAATATGTTAATTTATTATAAAAAAATATAAAAAAATATATATCGTATTTGTATACAGGATGTATCTGAAATGTTGCACTAAACTTTAGGAGCGTATTCTAGAGATCAAGATAAGACTTCTTTTCCTATGAACATGGATTCGCAAATAAACCCTCCTCCGAGCTAGAGGCCCCTAAAGTTTGGGGAAAAAATTAAAAATTGGCTGTATTTCAGAAAAAAAAGGTTTTGACGTTATCTATCACCCTCTCTTGAGAGATAAATAAATTTGCATTACGGGTGTTTGGTTAATTTCACACATTTTCGAATTTTAGCTCGGAGGCGGGTTCATTTGCGGACCCATGTTCATAAGAAAAAAAAGTCTTATTTTGATCTCTAGAATCCTAAAGTTTAGTGCATCATTTCAGATACATCCTGTATATAAATTAAATTATATATTATATATTAAATAAATTATATATTATTAAAATAATCAATATATTGAAACCATCTAATATTTATGAATGAATCTAAATTTAGCGACAAATATTATATTACAATTTTTATAATTATTATATATTATATGTATAATATGCAATTATATATAATTATATAATTAAATAAATTGAAATATGCTTTTATATGTGTATACGCTAAGAGACGAAATACATCACTATCTTCTATGCGGTTATAACTGATGATTAAGAATGATTTATTGTTGAATGATTTCTTTCTATATTTCTTGAGGTCATCGTGGGTGACTGCGTGCTTCTTATCTCGATGGAAGTTCATTCAATTAAACACATGAGAAAGATATCCCTACACAAGTAGAGAGTGACATTCTTATTTGTCTGGTATAATTTTACTGATTTTCCACGATTATCCTTTTAATTTTTACTAGATTTTATCAACATTGAACGAAACTCTTTGATTAACATAATAAAAGACTAGAACATTATCAAGGAAAACAACATTCCAATATAGAATTAATCTAGATATTAATCTAGATTAGTTTGGACAAGCAAAAATTACAAGATGATGAAACTGCTTATTCTTTTGACGGTCTTGTATTGCATCGATTTTGGCCACACCAGAGAGATAACGTATGTAATTTATCAATTATTTAATTTATAAATTGATATCTTGAACGCGCTCCTCTTTTTCCTAATTTAATTTTCAGCATGTTATTATATTTACTCGAAGTTTTTTATAAATGATTATTTCAATTTTTAGTCACGAAGACATTAAAGATGCTATGTTGAGTTTAGTACATATGATGCGAGAGAATACAGAAAAACTCGAAAGGCATGAAGTAAGAGAACGACAGCTGGGCGAGCAATTAAAGAAAACCATAACTATCCTGACAAAGCGTGTATCCGCTGTGGATGGATTGAAACTACAGCTGAATAAATTGGATGAGAGGATCTCGGGAATAGAGCATCTGTTCGCGCAGGTCAACATTTATTTACAATTAGTAAAACGAGCGAAAACATTATTTTTTGGAGTGAATAACTAAATAAATCTCGTCATTCTTTTCCATCTTTTTTCAACTCTTTTTAAAGCACTCCACTAAACTTTCTTCCTTTTACTTGCCTTTCATTTCTCATTTTTCTGTCCTTTTTCTTATCCTATTTTTTGGATATTTTTTATATCAACATATTTTTTTTCGCGCAGAGAGATGAGAGAGAACGTATACAGATGCAGAAGACAACGGACAGTTTAGAGGATCTAGAGAGTCGCTTGGAAGGTTGGCTCACGGATATTGAAAACAAAGTTGCAGAGATAAATAGTCGTCCAGAAATTACACCTATATCGAATGATAATTTTACCGATATTCTCAACAAATTGAATAAAATCGAAAATAACTCAATAGAGGGAATTGCAAAACTTAAAGAGGATCTGCACAATAATGTAGCAGTGATGGATAGAGAATCAACTGTTCTAATGGAGAAAGCGCATACGATTTTCTTGCAGGTATTCTGTTTATGGAATGAAAATAACATCTTTCTCTTCCTTCTTCATATCTTCAAGAATATAAATTATTTGTTATATAGGTGCAGGACGTAGCCACTAGGATCGGAGACATTGAGAACTCTCTAGAGAAGATAAAACAATTGACGCGGAGCGTTCAAGAGAAGCCGTTGGAGCGGCAATTGGATTTGCCAGCTTTTGACGAGCACATGAAGAAATTAGTGCGGGTACAAGAATTAATGGAAAACTCTTCTAATAGATTATATGAATTACCCAGGTAATTTTGTATCTCATGATTAAATTTGAATTAATATTCTTTGCGAAAATAATATAAGAATATTTTATATTTTAATGTTTGTGAAAATATAGGATAAATGAAGTGCAGATGTTTCACAACGAGACGCAGACTATGTTGCAAGAAGTGAAGCATGCATTGAAGGATATTGTTACAAGAAGTATCAATAATGTCGAGGACAGAATAACAGAAGCCAAAGAAGAAACGAAGGAATCTGTAACAGCATTACGGTAAATTTTGTCATTTTGAGGATCATAAATGTTAAATATTGTCTTTTTCTTATCTTTTATTTCTCATCCTCTGGATATTAAATATTATCTTTAAAAATCTGAAGACTATATTTAATATTAAATAATTTAAATATATTGTATAATTTTTTTTAATTTTGATTTTTTTACGTTATAGAATGGACCTGGCTAACAATGCAGAACGTGTCAGCCAGGATTTACAGGAACTGGAAAAGGGTCAGTCTGTGATGGTTTCCATGGCCGATCATGTGTTAGATACAAAAAAAAGGGTAGAATATGGCGTACATCAAATCTTGTTGGAAGTGGGCGATCTGGTAAAGGCACAAGGCATCAATATTAACAGCACTCTTACTCAAAGATTCGATGGAATTTCGAATGATATCATGAATAATCAGAACGGTGCCTTGGCAAACCTTACTAGTAAAATGGAACTGGAAATGAATAAAGTAAATGACTTGTTATTTGCTCAATGAGCTAACTGTTTTTGGGATATATCATTATTATCTTTATTATAGATCTGGCGACAGATCAACGTGATGTATCAACAAATGTCAGAGAGTGCTCGAGCTTTAGACAAGTTACATAAACAGAATGAAGCCTACGTTAACGGTACGACATCTACTATGGGTGGAATGGAGAGTAAGGTAATAATAAGATAATAAGATAGTAGTAAGATAATAATAAGCATAATTAAATTAAAATATAGTGAAGATTAATGTAAAATTTCTCTAAAATAAGTTAAGTTAATCGCTATGTTAGATCACCACATGTACCACCAATATTTTACATGTACTACCAATATTTCATGATGTTAGTATTAATTAATAGTTAGTATGAAATAACAAAAATTAAAAATTCTACAGGTCGGCGAAATAACAAAACGCATGGCAGAGGTAGATGAGAACTTAAATTATTTGCTTGGTCGCCTATCCTTAGTGACGCAAGAATTCAATCAGATTAAGACAGGTTTAGGAAATGCGTTAGACAATATTAAAGCTTCTTTCAAAGTGGTTCAAGAGAAGGCGTTGGACTTGACCTATCCGGGTCCTCACCCACTTCCAAAAAATTATAACAATCCTAATGAATCTCAGACCAGAAAACCAGACGGTAAGCCTCTGTCGGATCTTATAAATCATATCTTCAACATACCTTCCAATTGATTACAAAGTTTTTTTCAAAAATCCTCAATTAATTTCATTTGTGTTTATTAAAAAATATAAAGTTCTGTAAACATAAAGAATTCTCGTAATATTTTTTTATGATTATCAGCAATCAACAAAACTCATTGTCAATCTTAAAAATTTTATTGCTGTTAATTTCATTGTTGCATAAACTGTTTGTTTTAGTTGTGACCATAAAGTAAGCCATATCCGACTCTCAAATTAAATGATTGGTTCAGGCTAATCTCAGTGGAAAAGATAGCTTTTCGTCGTTAGATTTAAAATCCAGTACCATTAACATCATTATACCACCATAATGATTAGAAATAATTGTAAGATATACTGCCAGCTGGAACATTTTTGTACATTTCTTAATCTTTGCTTTTTATCTACTTTATTTCAAAAATTTTTATGAAAGAAGCTAATAAACCGATTATATGTAATGATCTAATTCATTAAAATATAATACAATATTAGAAAAGAATTAAAATTTAGAAATATAATTTAGAAAATTATGCAGATTATGTTTTATGCGAACATTTTTGTAGAATAAATAAGACTTACTTAATTAATTTTTTTGTCCAAAAACTTTAAAATACAATTTCTATTTTACATATACATTTTTAGCAACTATTTTTCTATGAATTATTGTAAGTCTTACCTAAAATAAAATAAAGAAATATAATTCAGATAATTTTAACGAAATTTTAAAGAAACTTTAACGGACTTTTAACGAAATTTTAGTTTATAATCCACATAGCATAAGATTTCCATAGGACATCCTAATTTGATCCCATTTTCATCCAAATTAAAAAAATCATCCATAGGATTACTTGAGGATATCTCGTATAACATAAAATCTCCGTAGTACATCCTGATTTGATCGAATAATCTAAAATCTAAACGATATAGACAATAAAAAATCACCTGTAGGATTTTCTGAGAATATATTATTTCCGATTGTCATATATATATGATCACTAGTTCATTCATTTACCGCTACGCGACGCTTTATCTCGTATTTAAGTTTAATCATGAAAATTATATAAAGCTTGCAAAAGGCTTGCGACAAATATGATTAAAAATATTTTTCTTTATATTTTGCTTCAATTTAATGTCCGACGCAACCCCAGTGAAGGAACTTCAGATATTAAATTGATTTTATCAATCTAACGAATAAATGTCCAGCATATAAATAAAAATGATCTATTCATCATCTTCAGAGTTTTAGATAAAAATAATTCAGTTTCAAAGAAGCAATAAAACAGTATTAATTTTATAGATAGCGATATATATATATATATATATATATATATATATATATATATATATATATATATATATATATATATATATATATATAAGTATATAAATTTCCATTTCAAAAAATTGTAATGTCATTGACTTTATTTTGGCAACACTATTTAAGATTAGTTTTATTGTATTTTTTAAAATTATACTGTTTATGCATAAAATATTTCACAAAAAGTATTTCGTTCGAAATATTTTAAATAGACATTTAAAATAGATTCGTATATTATTTAATGATTCCTCTGGATCAGTTTAGGACAACGAAACAGATATTTTAAACCTCCAGTGGAATTTAATTTTGTTATGTAAGTTATCCCAGGGATATCTATTTTTAGATTTCCTAAGGATAACATGAAAAGCGAACATTCAGATATCCTCAGTATATATCCTAAGTATGTCTTACAGTTTCACACAGATATCCTTCGGATAATAAAAAGTTTTTGAAGTATATCCGGTGATGGTACTTAGGATCAACTTTTTCTATGTGGGAAATTGGTATTCGATATATTTTTAATTTAAAAAAATAGAAAATTATGTAACATAGCCTGTTTTTCCCAAAGAAAAAAAACCTGATTCATAAAAAATTTCTACCATTAAAATTTGATGCGCAGAAACAGAACATCTCATGTTTCTTTCATATACAAAGTGTAGCAATAATTTTGTCCATACTGCGATTTTGTAACTCATAACAATGATGTCATTATCATTAGTTATAGAATCGTAGAATATCTCCGTTATTTTTAAAGATATGAAAAAATTGTTATCAAAATTGTACTATGTCAAGAAATCTATAATATGCTAATAATAATATTATTTTCTGTAAGTGCAGGACTTCAAAAATTTTTAAATTATTTTTTTTAAAGCACCCTAATTTTTTTTATATAAATCGATTCCTTGCAATATTTCGCGTAAAAAGTTATAAGAGTCAAAAATTAAATAGAGAGATATATATTTATGAGATATATCATAGTTTATAAAAATTATATCAATTTAACTATTCAAGTTTTGGCCATTCTGCTCTTATAACTTTTTACGCTAAATCGATTTATATAAAAAAATTATAATGCTTTCAAAAAAAATGAAAATAATCTTTCTGAAGCCTACACTTAAGGAAAAAATATTACTAGAATATTATGATCTTCTTAACATTGTACAACTAGAATATTATGATCCTCTTAACATCGTACAACTTTCATAATTATAATTTTTTCATATTATTAAAAATAATAGAGACATTTTAAATAGAGTTTAAAGTTATTGTCACATTCTGTATGTATATATGTATACATATATATATATATATATATATATATATATATATATAATGTATACAGGGTGATTCATTTTAATCGCCCCAGGCGGATATTTCAAATGCTGTTGAGTTTAGAGAAAAATGTTTCAGACAAAAGTTGTAGGGTTTGGAAGGGGACATAAGATGGTACCATTGGTTTGACCTCGAAGAGTTATTTGAAGGTCACATGAAGGTCACCTTCAATTTCTTAAATGGAACCTACATTTTCTCTTTACATATTCTTGTAGCTTATCTCGAGAGCTTTCCAAAACACTATAATTAAGTACCTTTTCGTTAAGTACTTTTTGAGTTATAAGGCTTGAAATCATTTCTTAATTTTACATAAATCATAAAATATCTAGTAAAATATTCATTTTTCGATTATCTTACCTTAATACTTTTATGTACAAAATAATGAGAGGAATCAATTGGTGTAAAGAAAACATACAGTTGTTTTTAAGAAAAAATATGTAATTGTTAATTGCAAATTACATATTTTTTCTTAGAAACAACTATATGTTTTCTTTACACCAATTGATTCCTCTCATTATTTTGTACATAAAAGTAGTAATATAAGCTAATCGAAAAATGAATATTTTACAAGATATTTTATGGTTTATGTAAAATTAAGAAATGATTTCAAGCCTTATAACTCAAAAAGTACTTAACGAAAAGGTACTTAATTATAGTGTTTTGGAAGGCTCTCGAGATAAGCTACAAGAATATGTAAAGAGAAAATGTAGGTTCCATTTAAGAAATTGAAGGTGACCTTCATGTGACCTTCAAATAACTCTTCGAGGTCAAACCAATGGTACCATCTTATGTCCCCCTTGAAACCATACAACTTTTGTCTGAAACATTTTTCTCTAAACTCAACAGCATTTGAAATATCCGCCTGGGGCGATTAAAATGAATCACCCTGTATATATATATATATATATATATATATATATATATATATATTGCGACGTACTATTTTGCACACATAAATATCTGCAACAATTATGAGATGGATGATAGAATCTAATTAATTTCTATTTCTATTTTATCATTAATAATCTCTATATGGGAAAGGAGACAGGATATACTATATTAGGATACCATAGGTTTTACTAGAATGTTATATTTCTATTGATATTATTTATAAAAGATAAATAAATCGCTACAAAGAAAAACATTTAGAACGTGCAAAAAAGTAAATCTTATGAAAAATTATATAAAATTGTTATTAACTTTGTTGTTCTTATGCAAAGATTATTGAATTTAGTATACTTTCGTAATGCATGTAGGTTGTCATTGTAAAACTGCGATACATTCATTCGTTTATGCGTTTCACCTCTTCTCTTTCATTTTCGCATGAATACTTGTCTTTATTTTCACACGCGCAGACACGCAAGCACAAACACACAGATATTTAATAATTAGTAATATTGTATATGCCATGTTGTGTTATAACAGAGTTCTTTATTTCTAAACGGTAGAAAATACTTCTATTTATGCAAGAGTGCAATGAAGGACTCACGGAGTCTGCATGCGTTGCAATGAAATTCGCGTTCGCTGCATAAGCGGAAAGCCTACGCTTGGAGATGAATTTTTATGTCTCTTGTTTTGATAATTTCATTGTTGACATACAGATGATCATAACTTTTATATTTTTTATAATGCATTAGAAGGAGCCTAAAAAATCTAAAAATTCAATGTTAAATAATATAAAATTAAATATAATTTTTAAATTAAAAGAAATTTTTTTTTAAAAATAAAATTTTTAAAAGCTTTCCATATAAAAAAAAAGTTTAAAATAATGTTTTCCAAAAGATTACTCACAAAGATTTGAAAGAATAAAAAAAAATTAATATTAGCATAATCGTTCTCTCCCTCTCTCTTTCTCTTTCTACTAGTATAAAAAATTTATTCAAAAATTATTCCTAGAGTATCTGTTTTTAAAAGAATTCTTTGATCTTCCAGATATTTTTATTCAAAAATTCCAGATAAAAAAATATAAAAATTTTATGAAACTAAACTAAAATAAAATTTTTTATTGCATTTTTCGTGCAAAGAAAAAAACACAGAACTTCTTTTGAATGCTAGATTTATAAATGTATTTATGTTATCACTAAAAATTAAATAAAAAAAATATAGTATGCATATTCAATAATTTTATTAAAACATTGAATATATAAACAGAGATAGATATATTTATATTTTAAACGTACTTTTCACTTGGCTAGTCAACTGTTAATAATATGAGAGTACGATAGTTAAAGAAAAAAAATTTAAGAATTTTATATTCGTAAGTTTTTCTAGGTATATATAAGGCTATAAGAGAAATAAATTTTGAGAATTTCAGATTTTTCATGTTTTTTTGGAGTAGACACTCTAAATTATTCCAAAAAATCCGAAAATTATTTTTTTCGAAATAATCGACTTTGAACATTTGAAAGATCAAAGAAACCAAAAGATTCATTCAAATTACGAATCTGAGAATTACGATCTTTGAAGAGACAGAAATTGGAGTTTTATAGAATACCTTATAGAGAGAGAGAGAGAGAGAGAGAGAGAGAGAGAGAGAGTGTGTGTGTCAGAGATCGCACCAAGTATATAATATATTTTCTAAGATCTCGATCAATGCACCTTCGTTTTAAGTTCAGCAAACCGTTATTATTTACAATATGTATGTATACAGATTAAAATATTAATCGCCTCACTTTAAACTACGAACTGTAAGTGGTGAGTGACTTACAGGCTGTTAAACTTAAAATCGCATTTGTGACGATACATTAGATATTGTAGAGAAAGAATCACGAAGATATCACTTTTGTGTATGAACACTGGAATCTTTCA